TCCTACCCCCTCCCCACCCAAGAGCTCTGAGCACTAAATGCCTCAGCTTTTGAGAGAGAAAAGGGGATCTTAAATCCATGCTCAGAAATCTCCAGGAGGTGCACACCATCGAGGTGCTGTGCGCATGGCCTTCCACAGGAAGGGCTGGAGAGGACCCTGCGAGGCAACTATAGACACATGCTCAGGAAAAAAACTAAAGCTCATTTAACTAAGCTCATTAAAATTAGGTCTGATGCGACCCATCTGCCAGTGTAAAGCCCCAGTAGCAGCTGGTGTGTGTTGTGTGTGCCCAAAACTGGGAACACTCCCACGAGACTCCTTCAAACCTTTAATGATAATGCTGTGAACTTCAGTTCATCAGACGGGTCAGGGCCAGGAAGGTTTCATTTGATTTTCTAGTTAACAGAGAGTTAATGGAGGAAATCATCTCTTATCCAGGAATGTGGTTCCTGGTAATTTCAACTTTTCGTGCACATCCATCCTACTGAATACTCCTGTTGCTACATACGAAGACTTTGAGATACTCTGATCAAAGTTTATACAGCATGGGCTGGGGAGGACTGCAGATGTGTTATACGGCAGAATTTCACTCGAAAATAACTCCACGGGCTAAAATTCAAGACTTGTCTTACAAGAGAGAAGATTAAGTCCTGCAAACAGTTTTTTGAGTTGCCCACATGAATATAGAACGTGCAGACTTGGCTTAATAGCCGGTGATGGCCAAAATCTGAAGTTTGGCAACAACTTTGAGAGAAGAAAACCTTAAAACCTTAAGATCATAGGCAGTACTCTAGGTCTCAGGTCACATCAAGCCCTTGGCAGGGAGACGCTCGATAGAGCTGGACAGATGGACAGGGTTGTCTGTCCTGAAACAAGCAGCTGCTTTTACTGCACCCAGCACTTCTGGCAGCTCCAAGCAGCAGCTTCCCTCCGCATGTAATTGTGCTGTGCAACAGCCCCACCTGCAGGGTGCTGGGAAGAGCGGCCGTGGGATTTCAAGCCGCCAAGGTGCGTCTGGTCTCAGCTCCGCCACTCTGCTATCTCTGCCCCGTTCCTTGTCAGGAACAGTCACCCCCAAGTGGGCAGAGCAGCAGGATTCTGCATCCGCACTGGTCAGCCCGCAGCATGTGTTCCTGGTGGAGGTTGACCAGCACCCATGCTGTCTGGTTTCAAACTGGAATTCCACGATCCAGGAGGCCACTGTCCTGGGCAAGCCACCGTGGTCACAGTGGCCATCGTGGATACCTTGGTCAATGTCTGTGCTTGCCTCTCCTGTTTCCCAAGGACTCACTGGCATCCCTTTGGGACAAGAAGGTATGAGGAGAGGGACAAACATCTACCAGGCTTCAAATAGCTTTTATTGCCCCGGCCAGTGTAGCTCAGTGGTTAGAACGTCAACCTGTGCCCCTAAGGGTCGTAGGTTCCATTCCCAGTCAGGGACATGTATCTGGGTTGCAGGTTCGCTCCCCGCCCCCAGTTGAGACTTGTGCAGGAGGCAAGCAGTCGGTGTGTCTCTTAAATCGATGTTTCTCTTTCTCGGGCTCTCTCTCCCCCTCCCCCCTCCCTCCCACTCTCTGTGAAGAGCAATGGAAAAAATGTCCTCTGGTGAGAATAACAAAACAAAAAAATTAAATAGCTTTTTTGAGAGTTTTGTCTTGATAACTTAAGTGTTTTCACTCTCAATAACCACCTCCCCGTTCTTTCCCCCAGTTCCAGGAGGTGCCCCTGGGGGACAGAGGGGCTCGGCAGCATCCTGTGAGCACCTGGCTTCGGCCTGGTGGGCGAAGGTGTTTGGAGCCCAGGCTGCCTCGGCCACAGAGGGGAGGGCTGGGGAGGCCACGCAGACCCCTAAAGGGCCCCCGAGGGGAGACACTTCCAAATAGACCAGGCCTTAGGGAGAGTGAAAATCTCGACCACCCGCCTAAAGGAAGCATACTAACCCTTTCTCTGCAGTGGAATTTAAGTTTCTCTTCACTTTCATGTGGCCAGCCTAAAACCCAACTTGGGCCCGTTTCTCTTTACAATGAGCTAGGTGATGAAAATGCTCTAAGTGTCTCTAAAATCTCAGAGAGACTCATTTTTTTTAACTGACTGAAGCAATCAAGTGCTCTTCCTCCCGGTCAGAAATGAGCTCCGGACTCGCCTGAGAAAACACCGGAGAGCATATGGCTCCGGCTGCAGGGCTGACTCCAGAGAGCCTCCACACAGCAGCCACCACCCTGCGCGTCCCGCACCACGGCAGGCTCCCCGCCGAGCGTCCTGTGAGACCGGCGAGCCAGTCACCCCCACCCCGGCTCATGCTACGTCATCCTCTGCAGAGGACCCCATTCACCTGAGCAAGAGAAGTGAAAAGGGAATGAAGTTTCCTGGCTTCTTCTGCTCTGTCCCCTGGGCGTCTTCTGACTGCTCCAGGCTGGGGGAGGGCAAGACTAAAGGTAGGTTTTCACAGAGCAGTTTGCATTTGCCAGGCACGTTGGTGCATGACCCCTGCCGCAGGGACTGGTGAAGAGGCCTGTCCCTGACCTGCAGGGGCATCAGGAGGCAGTGATAGTCTCAGCTTCTAACAGAATGAGAAATTGCCACTTTCTACAACTTACCAAAATGCCATCTTGCAGAGACGCTAACATATTAATACCTTAATGGCCTCTAACCCATCGCAGAGGGACTAGGGAACCAGAGCCCCGTCCTGGGGCAAGCTGACTGGGCAGCTTTGCAAAGAGCAGTGGTGTGAGCACAACGTGCCTCCATCACTCACACACGGGTGCCTGGAGCTCTGGCCAGGCCACCCGAGTGCGGTGGCTTTCCAGGTCACCGTGCGGTTGAGTGGCGTTGTTTCAGAGATCTGAGTCTAAAAATGGAATGGCCCATGTTAAAGAAACCCTTCTAGAAAGAACCAAGGACTCCACAGGGCCATGTTTGCATGCCCAGACTAAGGCTTGGAGTGGGGCAGGTTCGAATAGGCTCAGCTGGTAGGATAGTGGTGGGAGCAGCTGACCACTGCCGGGCTCCAAGCTGGACCTTAGATGCCTGCAGCAATGCCCAAGTGACTATTCGGTCAATGCTGGGAGAACCACTCACCACTCAGGTCTGGAAACCTCGCTCCCAGGATTATCAACACATCCAGTAGTGGGTACAAGAGGCAAAGGAGAACCATTGAAACAGTGATTTTGCTCATGGACTACAGCAGTGGCCTTGGCTGGGGCACAAGCTACAGCGTGACCTTGGCTGGGGCACAGACCACAGCAGTGGCCTTGGCTGGGGCACAAGCTACAGCAGTGACCTTGGCTGGGACACTGACTATAGCAGTGACCTTGGCTAGGGCAGAGTTTGGAATTTTTATCTGAAACGAGGTTCCTAGAGTATTTATCATTCTATTTCTCTACTCTAGGCAAGTCTTTTCAAACTTGACTCTGTGTTGCCCGACTGAGTGGCTCAGCGGTTGATCCAGGAGATAAGGTTCGATTCCCAGTCAGGGCACATGCCTGGGTTTCAGGTTTGACCCTCAGTAGGGGGCCTAGAGGAGGCAGCCAATCAATGACTCTCATCATTGATGTTTTTATCTTTCTCTCTCTCCCTCTCCCTTCCTCTCTCTGAAATCAATAAAGACATATTTTTTAAAAAAAAACAAAAAACCAACTCTGTGTCCATTGTCTGGTGCCCTTGTTTGAAATGCAAATTCCTGGATTCTAGCCCCAATGATTCAGATCCCATAGGTGTGGAGTGCGGCCAGGAATCTGTGTCCTAGCAGGTGCTCCAGGTGATCCCGGCACTGGGAAGCCAAGGACCAATGTTAGGAGTAGCCATTCTAGCACCGTCTCCATATGTCAGCAACGACTGAGAACTGGCAATCCCCACGTATCCCAGGGCTCCCACGCTGACAGTCTACCCTGCCCTGAACACGTGTCTCTGAGCTCTGCCTCTACCACTGTCCTTTAGCAAACACGCTTCACACCAGTTCAGTTCAACCAATGTTTATTGGGCACCTACAATAGGCAAGGCACAGAACCAGGAGCTGTGGGGCCCAGAGACAAGGCTGGGCCTCGCCCCCAGGGGCTTACAGTCTGTGGGAGACTCGCACAAGTAAGAGGAGCAGAGGCAGAAGGAAATGAGTTCCAACAGAGGCAATGCAGCGGGAGAGCAGGAGGCAGGGAGTGGGGCGAGATAGAGCACCTGGGGGGCACTGGCTACACAGTGGCCTGGGCAGGCCAATGTCTGATGCAGGCTGTGGCACTTCTGCCGCCTGGGAGAGGAGTAGGATCCGCACAGTGGGACTGGACAGAGGACAGCTGGGGCACAGGAGAAGGTACAGCGCTGTGAACGCCCACTGACAGCAAGGAGAACCGAGGCAGAAGTCTCCCTCGGCTGAAATACAGCTGCTAAAGTAACGGGGACCTCAGGTTGGAGAAGTGGTGAGGCTGGTGGTACAGGACCTGCTGGTGGTTAGGGGACATGCGCCATCCCCCGCAGGCACTGGTGAGCCATCGAAAGTTCCTGAGCAAGGACGCACATGCTCTCACCTCCTCAGTTCCAGGCCCCCTGCCATATTACATGATTAGCTCTATCTTTGCTAACTTCACTCTGAGTTACAGCCTCTCTTGCTCTCAGAGTAGAAGCCTGTGGCCGCTCGTCCTCAGGGGCTGCACAAAGCGACAAAGCAGTGGCCTTAGGTTGGCAACCTTGGCGCTTACCTAACAGCTTTCAGCCTCACCGCAGAGGAAGTAGGCCTTCCTGAATCATTTGGGAGCAGGGCAAGGCACTAGGAAGGTGTCCAACGAACTGTGGCTGCCTGAGCACAACAGATCCGCTGCGGAGAGATGAGAATGCAGAGAGAAAACGGGAGAAAGGTGCAAGCTCATAATTAGCTAATTAGCATCACCCACACTGACCAGTCTGCCTGTCGGCCTCCGGAAGAACCCACTGCGCACGCCCTGCAGCCCCACCTGCCGGGTCGGGGTTTCCAAGTGCTGGACACACAGAGGTTCTGCGAACACCTGCCCTCCGACCCTGCCTAGCTGTCCAGCGAGGAGGGAGAGTGGCACCCACCCCCACCCGAGCCACCCCAGCCCGCGAATGGATTCGAGGCCACCGCTGTCCAGGTGGACACGGCGATGCTGGTCAGCGAGGGCTCCCCCAGGACCTCCACACCCACTGAAGTGGACGTCTGGGTGGAGAGGGGCGAGGTCACAGCTGGGTTACCCAGGAGAAACGCTCCTGGGGACCCGGCGTGCACCTCTGGGCCAGGCCCGGCAGGGGCCCCCCCGCCGTTGCTGATGGTCCACAGGCACGGGTAGGGGCTGCAACACAGAAAGAGACAGGAGGGCGGGGCTTGATGGCGCCCGAGGCGACCTCCCCTGCGTACGCACGGTCCTGAGCGGGCCTCGGGGGTCGGGGGGCAGCTGGCCGCGGGGTTGTTTCCGGCTCTGACACAGGCTGGCCCTGATTCTGCAGAGACGCCAAGGGAAGCACAAGACGTATGGTTGGGTGTCCTGAGACCTGACCCTGAGGCTGGCCCTGCCGCTAGCAAGCTGTTCACTTTCAGACACAGCCACTCGCGCCTCTGGGCCTCCCCTCTCATAGCCTGGGCGCAGGAAGCGGGGAAGGGGAAGCTGGGACAGTCTGATCTGTGAGCAAGGTGTCTCCCCGGCCTGGAGAGGAGATGTGGTGAAATAGCCAGGACACCCTGGGTCAGGAAGCCTGGGACAGAATCCCCCCCCCGCC